CGCGGTGCTGTGCAGCCTGCTCTGGGTGACCCTGCTTCAGCAGCAGGATTGGACTAGATGACCCCCAGAGGTCCCTTCTGACCCCGAACATTCTGTGATTCTGTGATTCTGTGGTCAGTGCCCGCGTCCCAGGTCCCCTCTGACCAGCTGTACTCCATGTTTGCGTTTCCCCCTCCCCAGATCATTTTTGCCGACGAATGCACCGAGGCCGAAGGGCGACACTGGCACATGAAGCACTTCTGCTGCTTTGAATGCGAGACGGTGCTGGGGGGGCAGAGGTACATCATGAAGGATGGCAGACCCTACTGCTGCGGCTGCTTCGAGTCCCTCTACGCCGAGTACTGCGACACCTGCGCCCAGCACATCGGTACGTGCCCCGGGGCAGGAGGGGAGCGGGGCAGACCGCTGCGTGGAGGGTTGTTTCTGACAACGAGAGCTGTGGCTTTGACAACGACCTTGGGCTGTGGGCAGGTCTGCCTGCAGCTGGGGTCTGCGCCAGCCCTGTGGCATCCAAAGAGGCCCGTGCCCCTCGCACATCCCACCAGGGAGCCAGCAGGGTCATTGGTTTGTTTAAACCATTGCTTTGCCAGGGGTTTTGTCCCTTTTTGTGGTTGGAGAGGGGAGGACTATCAGACAGCAACCTCAGGAGCTGTTGCAGCTGGTGAAAGCTTTCTTTCACCTAATGTAATGCACCCTTTTTTCCCTTTAAATCTTATTTTTCTGTACACAGCCTGGCTCGCCGAGTTGCAGATTCTTCCCAGCTAAGCTCATCAAAGGATCGCATGAGATACCGAGCTACTGACAGGAAAGATGCTCGTTCATCAGGCATCTTTATTGTTTCTGTTTGCCTTTTTTAATCAACCTGCAGGTAGATGTTCTGAGACAGAAAGAAACAACGCATCAGAGTCAATCTACGTTTCTGAAACAGTGCTATAAAATATACTCTTTTCGGGGTGCTAGCCGTGCCCCCAGCACTCGCAGGGTGGGAAGCCGGGCGGGCTGGGGCGCCGCCTCGCTGCTCTC